GGGAAGACGTGAGTCACTCTCTCACGAGCCTTTTCTCTTAGACACAGATCTCTAACAACAGATTCTAACTTCAAATGGATTAGAAAAACCGTATCAGAAAGGATTCCAGGTGACTTTCGAAACTTGGGTTGACAAGGATAGTATAGTACACTAAGAATACCTGCTTGTTTTAGTCCTGCCACTAGCTGTGTGACCTCGTACTAGTCCCTTAACCTCTCTGGGCCTCCTGTTTTCTGCCCCACTATAGCAGGGACGTAACCCTCCTCTAAGTTGCCTCGCTAGGGGATGTGAGGCTCAAAGGAAAGAAGAGAAGCAGAAATGCTTTGAAAGGAAAACACATCAAATAAATAAGAGAGATTATTACTAAAATCCAGTCACCTTCAACAGTACCTTGCTGACAACACACTTGCTTGGAAAACCAAGGTCTTCACATCCCCAGGACTTCTCTGAGAAGGCTTGTGAATCCAACGGGGGAACGGAGGATTGGCTGGTCCCATTCATCGTCGGGAGCTGGGCCAGAGCCCCCCAGCCGTAATTATACCCCTGCAGCATCCTCACCCTGGTGCTTATGACTGAGGAGCAATTTCCGTTTTACACAAGAGTAAACTGGGACTTAGGTTTAAATAACTCACCCAAGTGGCAGAGCTGGTATTGGGCTCAACTAGAAAACGACGGAGCCAAGACATGAACCAACATCTTTCTAACCCAAAGTATATTTCTGGGGGTCTTAGCTCAAATTACTAATTAGCCAAGGACTCTTTGTACTCTAGGAAAGATTTTTTTCCGTGATGTAGGTCAAATGCCACCAGACCATACATTTCTTAAGGACAAGAATTGTATCTTTTTTTCTGAATCTGTGGGCACTGCCTCCAAGCAGTTGTTCCATAAACACATGTAGGCGGAATCTTTCCACTCTGTGGGAATGAATCTGCTTCCCCAGTTGAACGTGACCTTCAGGAAAACAGGTGCATGTGTTGGTTATCAAAACCTCCAGCCCCCACCATCCCCCCATCCCCCCACCCCAGCCCCAGCCCAGCTGAGGAAGTCCCAGATGAATTGTTGAACGGAACTCTTCTTAGCAAAAGATTGCCAAAGGCCCAGCCTTCTGAACTCACTTAAGAAACAGCAGTCCGTGTAGCCACATTTTGATCCAGGGAATTGGGGATCACATACAACGTGATTTCTGTGCAAAGGTGCCTGGCCCTGGCCCTCTCCGTTCTCTGCTCCTCCCGATTTAAGGCTCTCCTGGGTTTGCCTCCACGTACTCTGGCGGTGGGAAGAGCACTGGATCCACAGTTGAGGCCCGGGACCCGCTCCCAGCACTCCCCATTACCAGCTGGGGGCCATGAGTGGGTCACTTTACCTCTCTGTTGTCTGTTTCCTTGCCCACAGATGGATGTGCTTCTTGCCCCTAGGGCCACGGGAAGAGCTGAGCAAGCTGGTACCAGCCCTGGACTGTGGGCTGAGGTGCAGAGAAGAGTGAGAGTAGGTCTGCACCCTCAGGGAGTAGGGGGGTGCAGGTGGTGCTCCTAGCTAACCTAAAAGATTTCCAGTGTGTCCTGGCCAGATCCACAGCTCCCCAGGCCCCACTTGCAGTTAGTCCTTGACTCCGCTTCCAAGCCCTGGGGCCATGTTCTGGGAAATGATGTGTCGATCCTTCCCTGGCTTCTTTCTTCACCCTCTCTTCCCACCCAGATCGCCACCAGTCACCCCTGTGGTCTCTTCTAATTGTCCCCAGGATACTCGGCTCTCTCCAGCCTATGTCCACTGGCACCTGGCCCTGTGGGAAGTGCTGTATAACCCAGCGGTGGGGCCCTAACAGATTCCCCCCGACTTACTCCGCTCACTTCTAGGTCAGGTGTGGTCAAGAGTCTACTCTCTTCGCACCATTTATAAAGTCAGTTGCAGAAGAACTAGCACCTCCTGGTGACAGTCAAAAGAAAATAAGTTAATTACGAAATCTGGAGAACTAACTTTTTTTTGAGTCTCTACATGTTCCGGGAAGTTAAAGCCAAAACTCGTTTGCTGAGCACCTATTACGTACCAGTACTCTGCTGGCCCCCAGGATAAACAGAGAGATGAGATGAAGAGGCTAAGAACGACAGCCTGTGTGCTGTGAATACACGTGGGCAGGGAAGGGCAGGGAGGGCCTCCTGAGGAAGGTGGTGCTTGAGCCAGACACCAAAGGACAAATAAGAGGCACCCAGGGTGAGACAAAAGGAAATGGAAGGGTATTTTGGGCGAAGAGACCAGCATGGAAGCACAAGAACACATGAAGCCCTGGGGGGAGCTGGAGGGGGAGCTGAGTCGGATGGGGGTGCTGGGGCCCCCGGGAAATGGGGAGAAGCACCAGAGATGAGACGGCAGAGGTCTGTGGGTGGGGCCCAGTGTCTGGAGGGCTCTGAACACTTTGGGTGGCATTTTCCAGGGGCTGTTAACGGCTAGTATAGGGAAAGTGAGTCTGGGTTCAAATAAATTGGAGAAATAGGACGTAGAAGAAGAAAAGTTAATAGGGTTTTGCCTGTTTAAGGTGGGTTTTTTGTTGCAAGACTTGGCAGCCTTTGCCAACTGGCATTGTGAATCTCCAGAAGGAACAAGGCAGCAGACAGCATTTCCCAGACTCGTCTGGCTGGGGAACCCCCTTTTCTTCCTTCATACAATGCATCTACTGAGATGCACTGGGACACGCTGGCCTTCCACTGAGATGATTGAAGCTGGCGAGCGACACGACTGGGCGTGCATTATTTTTAGGTCCCCTCTGGAGCAAGTGTGGAGATGGATGGGGAGGGGAGAGGCCGGAGAGTGGGGGAGCTTGCTAACAGTCGTAGTTGCTAACGTCTACTGATGGCCCTGTGGGACGATCGTGGCCAGCATGGTCTCTCTAAATCTTCCTGACAGCCCCCTTGGGTGGGTGGGGCCATTACCTGCATTTGCAGATGAGGAACGGGGGGCTCAGATGATTAAATCATGGGCCTACAGAAACCCAAGGGTAGGTGGGTGCTGGGGTTCAGTCCAAGGCTGTCTGACCCCAGGGGATGCCCCTGGAGCGCTCTGCTACCCCCACCAGCAGGGGTGGCAATAACTCTGTCAGAGGCAATGAGCCATGAGGACTGTGGGCTGGAGAACGGGTCGCCCAGCAGCAGAGCTGCTGTGAAGTGGGGGGTCATGTGATGGTGGGCTGGGGGGGTATGGATAAGGCAGCAGACTAGGCACTGTGCAGGCGGCTCCCCTCTCCCTGTCCTTTTACTTTCCCCTGCTGAGCAGTGTGATCTGAGAGGCTCCATCCCCTTTTGCCCCACGCTTTTCCTGTAAACGGGGGTAGAAGAACTAGGGCTTAGTGGGTCGCCATGCTCATCTCACTGGGTGGCATCCCCACCCCGAGGTGGCCTCCACCTGAAGACAGGTCTGTGAGCATGGTGTGGCCCACACTGCCAACTAACAGCACAGAACCTGGGGGCCACAGTGTACCTCCCTCCAGACGTGCTCTGGATGTGCCGTGAGGGACTCCAGTCCCCTACCGAGTCCCTCCGCCCACTCTCCCACAGGCGCTGTGCTGGGCAGCAGGGGTCCAGGGACGCCTGAGACCTGGCCCCTACTCTCCAGGAGTCGGGTACAGAGAGTGAGTGCCAGGGCAGGTCTGGTGTCTGAAGAATCACTCCAACCCAGTGAGACTCTAAAGCGCTGTCCGAGAGAAACACAACAGGAGGCACAATGCAAGTCACATGTGGAATTCAAAATGTTTTAGTAACTACGTTTACAAAGTAAAAAGAAACGTGAAATTAATAATATTTAACCAAATGGCCAAAATATTTTTATTCCAGCATATAACCAATATAAAAAAATTATTGAGATGTTTTACATACTTGTTTCAAACTAAGTCTCTGAAATCCAGTGTGTATTTTATGCTTAGGGCACATCTTAATTCAGACTCACCACATGTGGCCATTGGCTGCTGAAGTAGGCAGTACAGGGCTAGACTTTGTCAAATAATAACATACCTTTGTGAACCGCGTGGTTGAATGGGGAGGAACCACCCAGAAGCCTCGAGGGGTTTGCAGAGGGTTCGTGGTCTTGGTCTCGCGTGGGTACTTACTTTCCTTACTCTGCCTGTCCATCTCCCGCACCTGTCAGGGCATCTACACGGGCAGGCAGTTGAAAGGACAAAGCTTGACTTTCAAAATAAAGGGTCGGAGGATAGAGCCGAGAAGCCTGTGCTCTCTTGGTTTTTATTCAACTCCTAATTTCAAAAGCCAAGTGTTTGGACAATTTTATTTGTTCATCAGACATTTATTTTGCAAGTATTTTTTTTCCTGAGGAATAAGGATGAGTCCCTCAAGGAAATGAACATTTCAAAGATAGTAAAGGGGGCTGATGGGAGGGAGACACTGGGTGATAAGTCCCACGTAGCTGGGGGCACGGGGCAGTGGGAGCATTGAAGGCGGCATCTGACCTACTATCTTGAATGACAAGTAGACATTTACCAGGCAGGTTGGGATGGGGTAAGTCATTCCACCCTGAGGGGCAGACAGGAAACAGGGCATGAGAGCCCAGGGCCATTTGAGGGTCTGCCCAGGTGAGCAAAGATGAAGGTTGGGAGGGGTCTGTGTGGGGGCCAACAGAGCCCAGGTCCAAGAGGACTTGGAATGCCAGCCCAGAGCCTTGTCACCCGAGGAGGCAGGGAGGACAGCAGACGTCTCGAGGCTTGGGTGCAACAGGGTCACGTTGCATTTTAGAAGCTTCCGCTGGCCTGTGTGGAGAATGGCTGGAGGAGATCCAGACGGGAACCCTGCTGGGAAATGATGACAGTGATCCAGGCCTCAGAAATGCACGGGCAGGACCCGGTGACCAGTTGACATGGGGGTGAGAGAGAGCGGGAGGCATCGAGGACGTTCCTCGGGGTCTGGCTTGGGTAACTGGATGCTCCCTCTCATGTGCCCTGTGTGCAAATGCATCAAACCATCTCCATGTGTACTGATGTGTTAAGTTTCGCTTTAATGCAGCCACAAAGACTCCGTCCTCCCACGCGCCCGCCGCCCCCCAAGATACAGCGCTCGAGGCCCGTGAGTAGCCGCTGGTTCCGCCCTCCCGCCTAACCCTGCCTGAGCCGTTCTCCCCGCCTGACTAAACCTCGGGAGTTTGAACTCAGCTGCCTTGCAAAACCAAACCGGGAATTGGGTTTTTCAGCTTCCCTGTCTGCGTGGCATGAACCCGAACTTGCATTTTCTGGGCTTCTGTCTCCTTTTTCCTGAGCCCGTTTGGCAACTTGCAGGTCGGAGCCGTAGGTAGACGCGAGCCACTGCGTGGTGTTTGCCGTGTGTGTGTCATTTGAGCACGTCTCCTAGGTTGAGTCCCAGTCTAGCCAAAGAGCTTTAAAGTCGGGCTCCAATGCCTCCTCCTCACAAAGGAAGCAGAAGTCTGGCAGCAGGGGTCTCGTTCCCGCCAGACCGGGGTTTGGAAGTGCAGTTCATGTCCCTTTTGCGGGGTCAGAGGCCACGCCCAGAGAGTCTCGAGCTGCCTCGGGTGGAGACTGGCCTCACCTAGAGCCCCACCCTCCCCAGTGAGGTGCCAAGTCAGGGCGGAAAAGCAGGACGACATGCGACAAACCCCACAACACCTAGGAATGGGGTGGGCGAGGCAGAGAGACCCATCTGAGGTTTTTCAAGGCAAATGCCATGGAAAAATATGGGGTGTGGGGCCCCATTTTCCTTGGAAGCTCAGACTTTGGCCATGCGGAGGCGTAACCACTGTAACAGGATCCTTTAAAGTGGGAAACTTGCCAGGACCATTTGGTGAGGTCTGTTTACCAAGAGAAGAGTTGCTCTGTCTCATTCAAAGCAGCCACCGCTCCTGCAGCCCAGCAAAAGGGGTCAGGTTCCCAGCCAGCTGCGACCAGAGTTCCCGCAAACCCACGTCGCAGCCCCCACCCTCCCCCTTACAAACGCACGTGTCCACATCCATCCCGTGACACGTGGCAGCCAAGGAGTGCAGGTGGCCAGGCCCAACCGTCTCTGTTTTTAATCCTCGATGCACAAGCCCAGCCTCACTTGGGTGGCTGCTCTCTGCGTGGATGTTGGAAAATTCTGTGGCTCTGTTTTCCTTCCCTTCCCTCACCTCCCCTGTGTGGGAGTTAGAGGGCAGGGGCGGAGGTTGGTGGGGATTTAGATACCTTCATCTACAGCAGTCGTGAGTCTGCAGTTCCAGCTACGTGTGATGGATCCCTCCTGAACCCAGTCAAACCACGATTAGCCCAAACCTGATCAGCGTGGCTACAGAGGGGCCGGCAGGAATGTTTCGGCTCACTGTCATTGGAAGGAAGGCACACAAACAGCAAAAAGAAGCTGCTTTGCGGGACAGGAAGCCCCTTCTGGGTCCAACCACGTGTGATTTAGTGGGAGCTTCAGGACGAGGCATTAGCATGACGGTTTGGGGGGTAGGCACAGCTAAGCTCGGGACCCAGGCTGTGTGGGCAAGTACTGAAGCTCTGAGCCTCGCCTCTCTCTCCCCTGGACATGTCTTCCCTCTCCCTAACGTGCCCTCATCCACAGAGGCTTTGACAGAGTGAACAGAGATGACCGTTCTAGAGCTCGGTGTCTGGCCCACAGCAGTGGTTCTTACTCTGCTTGATGGGTTTTTAAGCCTTACAACTTCTAAGGAATGACTCGGTTTCTTAGTGACTGTCATTTGCCCAGGATTTTTTATAGTAAGCAAGTTATCCCAGCTGAGCCTCACAGTAATACTATGAAGTAGGCATCAGCTCCACCCATTTTAGAGATGAGAAAACTGATGCTTGGTAATTTAACCCAAGTCCCTCAAGTGCAGATAGGTTCACCGGACTCGAGAGCCTGTGGTCTTTCCCGCATACCGAGCTCCTGGGACTCTCCATCTGCATTTCCATGGAGTCCATCGTAGTATAAAATACTGGGGCAGTCGGGCGCCTGGGTGGCTCAGTTGGTTAAGCGTCCAACTCTTGATTTCGGCTCTGGTCATCACCTCAGGGTTGTGAGATTGAGCCCCGTGTAAGGCTCCGTGCTGGGCATGGAGCCTGCTTTAGATTCTCTCTCTCCCTCTCCTTCTGCCCTTCCCCATTCCCTCCCTCCCTCCCTCTCTCTAAAGAAAATAATTTCTCTCTCAAAATAAATAAAATTTTTAAAGGGTGGGGTAGGGCGCCTGGGTGGCTCAGTCGGTTAAGCGTCCGACTCTTGATTTCAGCTCAGGTCATGATCTCAGGGTGATGAGATCGAGCCCCACATCTGGCTCCATGCTCCATGGGGAGTTTGCTTGAGATTCTCTCTCTCCCTCTGCCCCTCCCCCACTCATGCATGCATGCACATGCTCTCTCTCTCTCTCTCTCTCAAAATAAAATCTTTAAAAATAATAATTTTAAAAAACTTTGGCTTTTTAAAAAATAATAATAAAAATAATAATTAGTGACAGCCAGTTTGGCTTTTTACGGAATCTCTAGGGCACTGTTGGGGCTTCGCAAGGATACAGAGGTGAAGAGAATTAACATTTATTTACTGGGGACTTTTTCTGCGCCTAAGACTGTGCCAGGCACTGTATCATTATGGTCTCATATATCCCTACACCAGCCCAGACGAGGCAGAGGCTGTTTCCCCAGCTTGCAGCCAAGATTACAGAGGTAAGAGGCCAGGCTGGCCTTGCAGCCCAGGCCTGCTTCCCCCTAAGCCAGCCATCCAGAGGGTTGCTGTCAGAATTTCCTGCAGAGACCTAGGACCCAAGGCAGGCAGGGACTCTCTTGCAAAGCATGATCTGGGGCAGGACAGGTATTGGAGACCGCTCCCATGGACTCCATGCTGTCTCACCTGTGTGGGGAGTTGTGCAGACTGGGGGAGGCCCAGGCACACCCACTGGCAGCTCAGTACTTGAGAAGGCACGCGTAGCCCGAGAACAGCCCTGCGCCGGCACAGGAGGCAACTAGCCTGGTACTTGGGGCTGTACCAGCCCCGGGTTATGGTACACTAACGAGGTAGGGTACCTAGCGGAACCACTTCTGGGCTTGGAAGTCCGAGAGGCCTGCCCTGATTTGAATCACAGATTGGCAATTCCTGGCTGTATGACTTTGGGCAAGACATTTAATTTCTGAGTCTTAGTTTCATCATCTGTAAAATGGGTTTAGCAGCACCTGCCTGGTAAGAGTAGTGAAGTCACGTGTGTATGGTGCCTAGCATAGTCCCTGGCATGAAGTGGGCACGTATACCCCACTTCTGTCACCCCAAATGCCTTCTGCCAAGCAGGGTCACTGTGGAACTAAACTGGGAGTCTTGGAAGGCTTGTGCTTTCTGGGCCCAGCAGTACCCTGTGCCCCAGCCCGTTCACTCTGCGTGCACTCATGTAAGCCTTTCCAGCGGGCACCACTATCCACTAGGGGTGAACCTGGGAGACGTGGGGTATGGAACCCCTCAAGGGCCTTGAAGAGAATGGCCTGCCCCGCACTCATGTCAGGAGCTTCTGGCCCCCAGCAGGGCTTTATCGGGTACTTAGCCACAAACAGGGCGGAGTCTGTTTGGCCAGACTCCTGTCTGGGCAGGAGTGGGGCCATTGGCCCAGGGTGGCAGGAGCGTGGGGGCTGGCCATTCAGCCTTTCTGGAAGGAGCTTTGTAGCCTGGCACCTGTGGCTGGAGTTCAGATGTTACCAGAGGATTTAGATTTTCTTTTTAAAGAGAAGAAAAAGGAAAGAGCAGAAGAAAGCTTTGCCAGTGTCTGGTGGACCAAGGGGAGTGGGTTGGGGCATGCAGGGGAGAGGCAGGTTGTGGTCGGCTGCATGGGAAGCGCTTTATAAGCTCTGTATTTATTATTTCTTGCTCACCATTAAAATCAAATGTACTCGGTGCTTTTGTATTCAATACACATTTAACCCTGCCGACTTAGATTTCTCAGGTTTTAAATCCAGTGGGGAATTGGCTGGTTTCCCAACTTTACCCACAAGTCCCCCTTGAACAGAGCTCAAAATCCCTGTTTAGCATTTTCTCCCCTGGTGCTGCCGGGATCCCAGCACCAGCGGGGCCAGTCACCGTTGTGTGTGTTGTGTGTGCGTGCGGTTTCTTCCCCCCTCCCCAGCACCCCCGAAAGACGGATGTGATCGCTGAAATAGGACCGGCCAGTTGTCGGCGCCGTCTTGTGGTTCAGGCTTCATTAAACCATTTTGTCCGTGTGTATGTGTGTGCTTCGTGCATGCACCTTCAGCTCCCGTACGTGCTTCTGTGAACGTGTAGTTGTGAGACAGGGTGAATGTCGGCGCCTCGAGGCCTCTGTGCATGTCTCTGGACGGCTGGCTGGGAGTGTAATTGTGTGTCTGGCTTTGTCCCCACCAGTCAGGTGTGTGTGACTCTGGGTGGGTCTGAGCTGTGCAGGTGACTGACTGTCTGGGTCTGTTGTGCCTTCCTCTCTCTCCCCCGCCTCACTGCCTCCCTGCTCCCCTCCCCCACCCCCTTCTCCCTGCTCTGTCTGTTTTATCATCCCTAATGAAGCAGTCTTCTCCATCGATCCTGCTGATTGCCAACCCATTCCTTTTGTTTGTTGGCTCTGAGCCATTCGGCGGCACTCTGACAGCTCAGCTCGTCTAATTAGCTCTGTTGTTCTTTTTCCCCATGTTTCACCACGTTGCAAGTTCAGTTGAAGTTGCCACAAACTTAATCCCCCCATTTCAGCCACAAGTTCACATTCCTCACCCGCCTTTATGGTAGCGAGGAGCGGCTGTGTGCAAGGACCGGCTGGCAGGCCTTCATATCTGACCTTTCCTGAAACCCCCACCCGGGGACCTCCGGGGCAGGGCAGAATGGCTCCGTCACCCCACACTGCACACCCCACATCCACCTTTGGGGTGAGAAGTCTGGGGGGAGCATTCCAATGCGGTGATCCTGTTGAGCAGCAAGAGGGAGAGGAGTCTGGCTGTGGTCAGGGAAAGCGGGCCAGAGTTTGAATGGGTGGGGGATCTAGCCATCCATTCATTCAGCAGCGATGACTGGATGTCTGCGTTGTAGCAGGCCCTGTTCTAACGACACTGATACGAATAGCAACATTCTTGTGCACTTCTTAGATTCCAAGCAGCCGCATCCATTTGTTCCTAAAAGTCTTGCTGGGTGACCACCAGCACCCCAGGCACCACTGAGCAGGATGCTAGGCAAGGGTCAGGTCATCTTAGATGGCGTCTTCTCATTCAGAGATGCCCCATCCCCGTCTCCTTGTTGTTATTGGTAAGGTCACAGAGAAGCCCCCGTGTGCCAGATCCCCGTGGATCTTCGTTCAGAGGAACCCCGTGGAAGAAGACCCCAAGTTTGGTGGAATGCATTTGGTGGTTACCACATCTCTGATTTGCCAAACAAGGCTGAGATCAGACTGGCCACTCCACAAGAAAAACTTCGGTTAGATCAGACATGCAGAGACCTGAGAGCTTGATGAGACTCTGCAAAGACTTGTCTTTCATGCAGCCAACTTCTGTAATCTGTGTTCTCCAGCCATTATGCTGTGTCGCCCACAAATTGCTGGGGGACCCAGGGGGCTCAGGGAAGAGGGCAGGCAGTGAACGGAGTGTGTGTGTGTTCTCCTTCCCTGTCTTATCTGAGAACTTCAGCGATTGTGGCGTTTCATCTACCTTGGCCCCTCATCTGCAGAGTGGGAGCAAACCCCCTGCACTGGGATGTCCGAGAATTTTTATTGGCAACAAAAGTCATAGACAGACTTTCTTGGTGTAGCTCTCTCCAGTGCATCTCTCGCTAGCATTGGAAATGCTCAGAGATGATGGAGCCAAATTTAAAGCCATGTAATGTTGACTGGACCAGATGAGGATCCTTCCAAGGGCACCTACAAAAACCCCATCTTGTTGCTGCAGGCCAGCTATGGATTAGGAAACTGTGTACTTCACTGTGAAACACACCCACTGCCCAGTCTCAAGCTGGGTCCTCATGAATGCAGGAGCTCCGTGGGGCATGCGGTGTCCAGACTGAGCCCTGCTCAGGAGGACTGCCCAGAGATGGCCTGGGGAACAGAAAGAGGATTTTTATTGGCACTCTGTAATGCTATCATTTGCTTTATTCCCCCCTCCTACTCAGAGAGGAAAATAAGCATCCTATGATTCAGTTGTAAAAAGAATGAAATAAGTACATGTACCCTAGACATAAAATCCAAGTGAAACCTTTTTGTTCTACCAGACCAGTTTCAGGGTTCTAGAAGAAGGCGAGTGGGGACTTATAAATGAGGGCCTCTGTGTTTCTGGGTCCTGTATGGACAGTGTCTTGTTGAACTCCCACGGCAGCCCTGCAAGGAGGCAGGTGGAGCTGACCCCTATCGCAGACGAGGAAACCAAGCTCTTTGGAAGAACCTTTCCTATTTGAGTAGGCAGATGCCTCAACATTTATTTGGGGGCTGCTTATCTAGATCAGCAGAACGTTCTTATATGGCTTTTCCAACTCACTCCTTGGGGCCTTTCCCCTGTGCCCGTTTTAGGTGCGCCCTCCCCGTCCGCACGTCGTGAAGAGACCGAAGAGCAACATCACGGTGGAAGGCCGGAGGACTTCTATCTCCAGCCCTGAGCAGTGAGTACCCCGTTGCTCCCCTCCCCTCTGTCTTCCAGAGCCCAGGGGTCTAGGCCTTTGTGGGGTCCGTGCTGCAGCCCTGGCCTTTGAAGCCTCTCTGGAGCCCTGAGCGGGTGTTTAAACAAAGAGGTCAGTCGGGGAGCTGGGCTTCATCTTCCATGTCGGCTTTTTCTAGCAGTTGTCACGCCCGCAGGAGGAGCCAGGCCTCTGGGCTGGGTTTTGAGTGGTGACACCCAAAGTGTACTCAGACAGGCTCAGAAGAAGGTTCCAGGCTTGGGTCAGCAGGGGAGAGCTAGGAACCTGGTCGAGGAGGCGATCTATTTAGCAAGGGGCAACCCCTGTCCTAAGCCTGGGGTGCTCTCGGGCCTAGAGCTTAGATTTGTACCCAGAACTGTCCTTATCCACCGCCCCACCCCCACCAGTACCTTTGCTCCCCTGTGCCACGGCAGTCATTTTATTAGGGCTTGGCTTTTCACCTCCCCTCAAGCCCAGAGCTCTGCGGGCTGGTGCTGGGTGTTCTGCCCAGAACCTAGCACAGGGCCCGGCTCAGAGTCATGTGCAGGATAGATGCTGGATAGAGGAGGTAAATAACGAGGCAGGTGGATAAGCGGCACCTGGAGATGGAGCTGCCCGAGTGGCGTGAGGCTTAGAGCTGCACACAGCCCCCAGTCCAGAAGCATCTGGAGTGCTGCCCTTTGTCCCCAAGGCCCACAGCCCTGGGGCTCTGCCCAGACAACTCAGCAGCTACACACTGGCTTCCTATGATTCTTTGAAAAAGTACATGAAACCATCTCAGTCTGGGGTTTGTTAGGGGAACCGAAACAGTTGCCCCGGGGACCCTGAAGTCCCTTGGGTGAGGAGAGGATGCTCCTCCTGTCTGCTCTACTTGCAGGAAAGTTGTCAGGGAAAGAAGCTAAGGGAAATAGCAGGCCCTAGCCAGGAAAGGAGCCAGAAGGAAGAAACAATTCTGAAATGTCAAGCTGGGGCCTAACCCGGGTTGCAGTGTACTTCAGCTCTTCTAGGATTCTCTGGTTTACAGTCTGGTGCTACTTGAGACCACTGTGTTGTTACAGAACCAGCCTACCTAGGCCAACTTACACCCTGCCCAGAAAGCTGTGGGAGACAGTGTGTGTGTGTGTGTGTGTGTGTGTGTTTGCATGCACACATCTTGAAAGGTGCTTGATTATGCAGAATTTGGAAGAGAGGACTCCTGAAGTTGGTTGTAGGCATAACTTAGCCTCTGCACAATAGGACGGTGGAAATATTAAGGAATAGGTCCCTGGCCGCGACTGGCATGGATTATGATTGCCCCCTTGTGGAGAAAATGCCGTATAGCTTCAGAGTTCCTCAGACCCTAAAGATTTCTCTTCAGGGAGGGATGAAATTACTTTTCTTTAAAACCATGTCTTTAAAACTGGGCTAAATCTTTTAGACACTGTGTGGGTGGGGCCTGTGGATACTGAAGTGCAAACCCAGAGTGTCCTTGCATTGCCCAAGAACACGCCAGACGAGCAACACTCCACGTTTTACCGGAAAACAGTTCCCATGCTGTGTTCAGGTCACCGATTATAGGTCGGAATTCCTAATTACGTTTATTTATGCCGTTGTTCTCCCAGCCCCGTGATAGGGGAGGCCTCTTCAGTACATGCCAAAGAGCCAGTGTCTGGTACTCCCGTCCTCCTGGGTGTTAGCAGAACTGGGCCCATATTACTTTTCTTTCTTTTCGCAATATGCCCTCTTTTAGATGCCTGTTCATGAGACATTTGGGGTTGGAACAAACCAGTGGGACCATGGGAGCTAGTTTAGTGGGTTGGCAAACTGGCCGCGATCGGAAACAAATGAGAGATTCTCTGGCCAGAGCTCACAGCAGCTCCGGCCCTCCAGGTGATCAAGAAGCACATTTGGGAATATTATTCCAAGAGTTTCTGTTCACATTTTTTAATGGGGGGGGGGGGCGCTGTTCTCCCATAATACCAGTGACATTTCTGGTGCAACTGGGGTATTTTCCTGCATCTCTTCCCATGCTGCCTCCCCCCCCCCCCACCGCACCCCCATTGTACTCCTCCATTTCCAAATGCCATGTCACAACAGCACTCGGATGTGTTTTTCTCAACTGTCATCAGCTCCAGCTGGCAAGACCAAGTTCTTGAAACACAGGAAGCATCCAGCGGAAAATATTTTAATAAAACAGACTCCTCATAAAATATTGTTCTGGGGGGAAAGAAACTAGCTCCACCAATCTGTCAGCATTGTGCTGGGAGACATGAGAAGACAAGCTGGCAGCAGGAGCCAGATCCTAGTGGGCCTTTGTTGCGGGCTGGTTCCGTGTGGGGCACATGGACTCCGTGCCTAGCCCTTCAATCTGGCCTGGATTTTCTGGACTCACAGATCTTTGTCTCCGCCGGGAATATCAAAGTACATTGGCAACTTAGAGGGTTTGGCCAGCAGAGAGAGATGCAAGATCTTTGAAGTGGAGGGAAGGGTTCCGTCCTCCCGACTTCTCGCCTCAACTCTCACTTCCAAATAGCACATTAAATAATTAACTTTGTGGGCAGCAAGATGGAGCTGATTAACAATAAGACAGTCTCCACGGCCTCCCACAGCAGCTCAGTGTCTGGAATTCATCAAGGCCCAGTAACATCGGCTGCCAGCTCTGCGGCCGGCCCCTCCGTCGGATCCAGTTCTTCCTTTCCAGATATGTCTCTCTGTCCATTCATGCATCCATTCATTCAGCAGATAGCTTCAAAAACCTACCAGGTGTGAGCGATTTGGGATTTTTAAGAGGAGGCCTTTAAAGAGAATCCCCGAGCTGACTCTTTGGTGACTTGCATTTTCCTGAAACGAAATTTCTCGTATGTCAAACGGCCTTTCCGAATCAAAGGTGGGTGTCCTCACCCCTTAAAGCCATCCGATGACAACTGGAAGAATACTTCAGAAAGATTTCTGGGGGAAACATTCCTTCTGTTTTTCAGCTAACACTAGCTAATTAATATTCAGTGACTATTTCTCCTCAAGAAGTACTAGCTACTTGCATTATTATTCAGGACGGGCTAATGGAATGCCCTGAGGATTCCCTAGGGTGAGAGCTAAGGCCAGGAGGGATCAGGCAGCGCGGGCTGTGGGTCGGAGGCCACCCAACAGCAAGTACGGTTGAGCACTTCTTATGTTCTAGGCCCTCTTCGGCTGGTGTTTGTTTCTCCTTCCACCAAATGGGAACTTGGGCTCAGCAAATATATGTGACGAATGTTCCTGGGTCACCCGGTTAGAAGGTGGCAGGGCCAGGCCTCCAGATGGCTGCTTGATTTCATTCTCTCAGCTACACTCTGCTGCCCACGGGGGTCCCTTGTCAGTTTGGCTTTGCCTAGAGAGACGGTTCTGGGTCCTGTGTCCTAAGATGACTTGCCCCACACGCCGCCCTTCTTCTCTGGTTCCTTGAAGTCGGGAACTGGAGCTGTTCGGTCCTCTTCCTGGCAAAGGAACAGCGTCCCCTGGTGCCTGAGTGTTTCTCCCTGGGGAAGGAAAGACAAGCAACACTGACGGAACATCCTGTGAGACTGTGAAGGGTAGGTGGTGGCTTTCCTATCTAACAGGGAAACTGAGGCTCAGAGGGAGACTTTCTGATAGAACTAGTCCAGGGTCTGAGGGCTAGAAACTGGTAGGATCAGCTGTCTGACACAGGCCTTACCCCTTCTGTCCCATCCAGTCTTTTTGTTGCGAACCTATGCTGAGTGATGAGGACAGTGGTGGCTGCAGGGGACGTGATGAGGTTCCCGTCTCCCACCCATGAATGGTCATTTCAGCCACAGTGGGTGTGGTGGGCAGGCCCCAGCTTCTGTTCCCATCGGCTTGCCAGGTGTAAGAGAATTTCCCATTGAATGTGGTACTTAGCAGGAGCCGACAGCAAACTCTAGAAGGCAGTGCTGTGCCCACCCCTCAGGATCATGCCCAGCATGCAGATGGAGGCCAAAGGCAGGGCGTCACCTGCTGGTCCCCAGGCGCCCCTCTCCGCCGGTCTGCCTGTCCTTTGTGCCCCCCAGCGGGGGCCGGGCAGTATCCCTCTCAGAGTCGCGGAGGGTACAGATGGACGTGGTCAAACAGCCTCCACCTTGTTTAACCTTAATAGCCCCGAGGGGTGGGGCTGTCTTCTGAGCCTTAATGGCCAAGAGGCTGGCAGTCAGGATAGCTCAGAGACGCAACCCAGGGGTCACCAGCTGCAGAGCCTGAACTTGGGACTGCAAACCTCTGTGTCCCCTTCAACAGGTGAGCCCCACAACACTCTCACAGGAGTCCAGACTGGCTGCGGGCTGGTTATTTGAAGTTTCATTGTACTAAGTAGAAGTGGTCCAGATTGAGGCACCAAGGGCCCACAAGCCATTTCCCGGCTCACCTGGCTGGCCAGATTTGTACAAAATTTGCTCTTTACAAACAATTTCATTTGTCTGTAAAAATGACCCAATAACCTTATAATCCGGAAGTTTGGGGAAAGAGACCAGTTCATTCCGAACCTCACTCCTTATTAGCATGTCTGCAGCTTCCCCTCCGGGGTTTGTCCTATAGATAATTTGCAGAGCTGAAGCTTGCTTGCAATATTCCTACTTGCGGCCTTGCCCCGTGTCCTTGTAATTCCTGCTGTTCACAACTGTGGCAGGATCCCGCTTTGTGTGCATGCGTGGTCCGCCTCGCCACACCCCTCATATTGGATTTGTAGATTTTTCTAGGTGTTCACTAACGTGAAATGCCAGAATAAATACCCTTGTCCTTAAAGCTTTTCTCATTTGATACCATCGTAAGGAATGGAATGATGAACAACTACCATTAGCCAAGAACTGCCTAAGCACTTTGCATACACCATTTCCTTGAATCCTCACAAGAAGTCTCAGGGAGTAGGTATCATTAGCTCGATTTTATAGAAGTAGCTGAGACCCTGAGAGGTTGTCACTGCTCCGTACCCTCACCCAGTCCCAGAGGCAGATTTCTCTTCCATGTTGCTAAGTAACTTGCTAAAAGTATTGTACCACTTTACACTCCCACCAAAACTCTGGACTCCCTGCGAATCTGGGTCTGGGGGACACAGAGGAACGTGCATTAGAAATCCTTCTGGCCGGGGCGCCTGGGTGGCTCAGTCGTTAAGCGTCTGCCTTCGGCTCAGGTCATGATCCCAGGGTCCTGGGATCGAGCCCCGCATCGGGCTCCCTGCTCGGCGGGAAGCCTGCTTCTCCCTCTCCCACTCCCCCTGCTTGTGTTCCCTCTCTCGCTGTGTCTCTCTCTGCCAAATAAATAAATAAAATCTTTAAAAAAAAAAAAAAAAAAGAAATCCTTCTGACCAAGGAGAAATCCTGCGGGTTGCGCTGGCTGGACAGACAGACCATCTGAGCTCCAAACTGCCGGCCCACTCCACTTAGGGATGGCAGAGTCTCATCATCCAACTTGCACCGCGTGACCCTGGCACCCAAAGCCCCAGAAGATTAAAAGAAGCTGCCAGAAGCATTTAGTGAGAGCTCTGCCCACAGACGAGGTCTCGGAACACTGCAGCTAATGCCACCCTGTCCTCAGGACCTGGGCTCAGCACGGCCCCAGTGGTGCGGGCCGTGGATCACACGGGGTAGAGCCCCTCTCCCTCCCCCCAGGCCCAGAGTTGCCCCAGGGGCGTGGTTGGTGAACCACTGCCAGGCCGGTGGGCTGGTGCACTGGGGGGAAGGGGGGACCTCTGGCACCCCACAGACCTGCATCAGCCTCCTGCCCGCTGCCAGCCAGAGACCCTGAGCAAGACTCTGCCCTCTTTTTTCCAACACAATGTCTGTTCACATCCCAAAGAGCACAATTTGGGAAACTGCCCCTAGGAGCCGCACTAGCATCCCGAGGTGGCGGGGCACACCAATCTCCCCTCCTGCAGCAGCGCTGTCAGCGGTCTGATGCTCACCCTGTGGCCTCCCCGTGAGCTGCGCCCTCCCCTCCCCGTGCCCGCCGTCGCCTGGCTTCCCCTGACACAGCGCTGACCTTCCATGTTGTAGTAGTCGCTTTACATCACGCACATGCGCGCGCACACGTGCACCCCAGGAGCCTGGGAGCTCCTCCGGGGCAGGGCCACCATGTGCCCTTCAGCTTTGACGCTTCAGCTCCTGGACCAGAGCCTAGCCCAGACCTCTGCTCAGGGATGTTTACTGAATGAATAAACAAGGGAATCACTGCCGCTTATAGCCCAGCACCCTGGAGATGGGGAAGGGGTGTCAGTTAACCACAGATGTGTAAAGAGCACCTATTATGTGCCAGGCGTGATTGGGATGTGACTCTGAGCTACCAGCACCTCTCCTGCCCGGGGCCGTCTAAGAGCCAGAAACTGCCATCAGCCCCAGGAGCCAGTCTCCAAGATGCCAGCTGGGCCCTGGGCCCTAGGGGTGGGGGCAGCTGTCTAGGTACTACCCACTGGCAGCCTGCCAGGACCCACTCCCTGAGCAGCCAGGAGTCCAAACACCAGAGCAGAAGGTCCCAAACCCGGTTAGGAATGTGAGCGGCCCCTGACCCAACTCAGGCCCCCCATCCCCTCGCCAACAGTGGGTTCTGGGCCCTGGAGACCAAGCCACGCCAGGAGCCAGACGTGGAGTCTGAGCCCAGATTGGAAAAGCAGGAACTGCCAAGGAGTCCCCAGGGATGTGCAGCAGCCCAGGAAAACACAGGTCTCCCTCGTCCCCAGCCACTTTTGCCTGATAGTCGAAGGGAAGGACCTCTCCCAGGGGCAGTCAAGACAGTTAGGAGTTAGTGCCCCAGACTTGCTGGTTTCAGCCTCCTCTGAAAGCTTTGCCACCTCACCTGAGCCCCTCCCTCTTCCAGGCATCTCGCCACCATTTCTCATGCCTGTTTCAGGCCCGGCACTTCATATATGTCACCTTGGTTAACTTCCCCCACTCCCCAAAAGTCTTCCTGGTGCAGGTGTGTTAGCCTGTTCAGCCGTGAAGGAACCAAGGCTCTAACAGGTGGAATGACCTGCCTTGGATCCAGAATGTGCACCCACACCCACGTCCACTGCTCTCTCACCAGACACCCTGCCCTCCACCACTGCTCCCATGGTCCCCACCAAAGACTTGGGCTCATGGCAGGCAAAGGCCATCTTCGGGTAGAGGGGAGGGGCAGTTCTTCACAGTCTACACAATTTCTCTTCCGGATAGGAAAAGTGTAGAAAGTGTCCCCATCCCCCCTAAGGTGTCCCCATCTTCCCTCTACCAATGAGCGTGAAGAGTGGGACAGTGGAGTAAAGCCCGTGTGCTGTGTTCGGGCCTCTCTACCTATGAGAATGTACACCCGGTAGCCTGGGAAGGACTGGGGCAGGGGTGTGGACATGTGAAATTGACACTAGTGATTTTTTGAAAGAAGGAAGGAATGAATGAAGGTACGGGTTGATAAGTAGTCAAACAGATGGACTAATGGAATTGGAAAGGCAAAGGGCACAGCCAACCCGAGAGAGAGAGATGGGGCCAAGCCAGTGAGGCCCCCTGCTGCCTCCCCAGCCCCCACATCACCCCCTAACCTCTCATGTCGCCTTGGTCCTCAAGCGGGTTCAAGACCCTCACCACCTGGTCCCTGCCAACCCTGCCAGCCTCTTTTCTTGAATCTCCCACCCGGACCCCAAGCCCCTTGTGCCCACTCCTCCCAGGGACACCTCCAGGCCATCCCGCAGCCTCCTCCATACGCATGATTGAAAGCCCAGCTCCCACATCACCTCCCGAGTGGAGCCTCATCCAAGAGCCCCCGGAGCCAGGTATACCCCCGCCACTGCCCTCTGGGCCTATCACAGCACATCAGAACTCCCCGGGAGAACCCATCCGGGGACCCGGTCGCGGCACCTCTCCATCACCGTAGCACAGGGCCAGGACTCCAGACCTGGCTCAAGCACGTACACCAGTGAAAACAATAGATCAGGCTCTGAAGCAAATCAGGGTGGTCTCTGGGGGAACCAGCTTGGTGCGAGACCCACGGGGGGAACCTCTGGAACTGCGCTGGAGCTATCTTCTGTGTGACTGGGCTAATGGCTAGGACCATTCTCAGGGAGGAAGAGAGGACAGATACCAAACCTGCTGGACATTGGATCTTTCCACTCCGTCGTATGTGTGTCTGTACTTTAAAACAATGAGAGGGTCACTGCTGTGATGAGTCATGATCACCAGTGAGAGAGAGTTCTTCCTGTCAGGTGAACTGGTCTTGTGGGACCGGTGGGTGTGAGATCAGGTTTTTCTCACCCCATTGGGGACTTGCTGTGCCAGAGGGAAGGTCTTCGAAGGCAGCAACCACCTTATATTCATCCTTGACCGCCTAGGGAAGAGCCTGCACAGGATTAAAATGCCCAGAATCTATTTGTTGGCAGGTGTATGTGGTGTATGGATAGTAACTAAATATGTACGATGTGCTGGGCATGAGCCAAAGCCCTTTATGAATAATTTCATTCAACTTTGTGATAACACCATCAGGAGGGCTGTAGAATCCCCATTTTACAGCTAAGAAGTTGAGGTACAGGGAGGTATATAAAAGACTTTACCGAGGTCATCTGGCTGGGAAGTGGGGGATGGTGGAAAGCTGGACAGAATGGCATCCATTGGGCAGGCAGGACCTGGCCTTGTCCTGGGGCCTGTCCCCATTCATCAGCCCAACCGGTTTCATCAAAGGACACCAGACCGGCCGAGACATTTACCAAGCAAAGATCCTTTGTGCTGGAGTGAAATGATCCTTTAAAAATGATCACCAGCTCCCCTCGTTACCTCCGGAGACCAAGTCCTTGCTGATTTTTTTCCCTTCTTTATCTCAAGTACATTTAAATGTCAATTAAATTTGAAATATCTACATTTGTCAGCATTTCATTTTGGGCCAGCGTGACGTGCTGCTGATTTGTCCACGCGATGTGACACATGAAAAAAACTCTCGAGATGCAGATCTTCCTCATTAAAAAATAAGCCCGTGCGATCCCGGCACGGCGGAGAGCCACAGAGCACGTCCCTGCTTCCTGACGCCGTGTCTCTGACATGGTATTTAAAAAGGAACAGCCGCGCCTGTCACCACTGTCACATGCGCACGCTAACCGGCGACACGTTAAACCAAACATTAGAAAGGGTTCGGGAAGTCATCTGCATGGGAACTCCGAGCCGAGATGAGGTGGGCAGAGGCGGGAGCAGCCGTGGGAGACGATGGGGTCTGAATGGTGATGGACAGCGGGCCTTTCTTTCTCGCCAAGACTCCGGCAGCCAAGTTCACCACGACCTGCCTTTTCACAGACAGCTCTTTGTGTGTAAGAAAATCCAGGCGAGTGGTGGGTGGCAGACTGCAGGGTAGTAGCTGAATTGGGTTAATGAGGGAAGAGGTACACTTTTTTTTCCCCCCCTCATTTTCTGCCTTAAGCTAATAAAAAATTTAAACCTGGACATTTTCAACGATTCATCCTTTATCTCTGACAAATATCTGACTGTATGTTTCATAGGAGGACATGAGCAGTTGAATTTAAATAAGTTTATTTTGAAATCTCACTTTTTATTAAAAGTAGAAGGGGGAACAGCCTCCCCCTTATTTCATTGTTTCAGATCCACAGAACCGAAGAGGCAGGACCACAGAGTGGTTTCGAGTCAGGCAGATCCCGATTCCTGGCTCAACCGGTAGCTTCTGTGGGACGCTGGGCGAGTGAGTACCCTCTCTGAGCTTTGGCTTCTCTGTCTGCAAAGGGAGGATGTGATAAGGAACTAATGAGAAACCGTCCAGGCAGCATTTAGCCTAACACTTGTAAGTACTGCTGGTCTCATCATCGTCATCCGTGTGGCCCGAAGCCTGAAAAAATGCTGATCTGACCAAACCACCTGGCGAGGTTCTCTCTCACTCTCTAGAGACAGATGGCGCGTTCAGGAGACACCCCGGGGCCTCTTGTTGAAGCCCTTGCCCAACCCACCTGGCCTGGCCAGCAGAGCTGGCCAGAGAGGGAAAGTGGTTTGTGAGCTGGAAGGTGAGGTTCCTTCTTCCCCCTCTCGCCCCCAGGCCCGCTCCGCCATCACTGGGTCTGCTCACAGCAAGCAGTGTGGGAAGGCACTGGATTTGACCGGGCTGTGAACTACAGCAGCCTGGCTTGATGAGGCCAAGGCCCAGTCCAGCACAAAGGCTCTTTGCTCTTACGTGAACCCAGACATTCCTGGCAGGTTTAGTGGCATTCAGCTAATGTGCCGAGCTGTGATCTTTGCTTCCTCATCAAAGCCGGAGGAGGAGAGCATACTTGGAGGGGCGTCGGAAGGGCATTCGAGATGGATCCAAGGGACACCAAAGAGCTTCATGCGGTTTGACCCAAGCAGA